GATATATTTATTCATGTTGTTGGCGTAGAGTGTGAAGCAATTCAATTCTAACTAGCGTATACATTTTTGGCAATAATTTGCATATCAGAGTTATTACTATACATGTGTTAAAAACGTGCAATTCTAAAGATTAATGCTAAAGAGATTACTATTATGGATCTGTAGATATATTTACCGCTCGACATGACAGCAAACTCGACTAAGATCTTTACGTCTGATTGTTTTATATTTTCGCTTTCGATAAAGTTCGCCTAAAGCTTCGGTCCCTGCGGATGTGGCAGCAAACAAACAAACAAAAGTAACTCAATCAATTGTTATTAATCAACACGAGAGTCCAATCAACGCAAGACAATACACAATCATGTTCAAGATAGTCCAAGAATGTTTTCCAAATTGTCCAAACTGTTTTCTTATGCTCCTCACACACCGCCACACCAATTGAAATGTTCAACTAGCTATAACTACTACCCTTGTTAATACTGTACATAAGTTAAATCGATGGGGGAAGACACCTTGAAGCGTTAAACCAAAGAGCTAAAATTTAGTAATTAGAAGAGCGAAAAATATAACAGATAAAGCGCAATGAAAGCAACAAAAGTCAGGTAACCAAGACACATACAAGCAAATTATCAGATGACAACAAATACAGATTATATCTATATATATACATAAAGCACTATATATTTATACAAACCAGTTAAGAAAGGGTGTTAGCTTAAGTTCAGCCACAAGAAATGTATGAGATTTAAACCAAAACTGAAGCAAAACTGCAATAAACTCTATATTATGTTTAAAACCAAACTAAACAATCACAAAATGTAATTCAAACTAACTCAATTTGTGGGTAATATAATTGATAAGTAATCGGTTTGCATAGGCATGCACAGTTTAACAAAAGTAAAAAAAGTTATCAAAAAAGTGTCACAGAAATCTTTTCCAACCAAAATCCGTTTTAGTTCTGGTTTCAATGCACAATAGAAGAGATTTCTGTGATATCCCCGATAGAAATGAACTGTGCATGCCTCAAAATCAACACATAATTCCCGAAACTAACTTTTGGGTCAACATTACAACGTATTCCAGCTTCTATCGTCGCCCTCGTCATTGAACTAATATTACGTATACGTCACGTTGAGCATTGAGCATTCATAAATCACTCAGTAACTCATTACATTCCAGGGGATCCACATCGACATGCTCTCACCCATTTCATCCATAATTAGTTGTAGAACAAACTGCCGCTAACCCGTAAACCCGTAATCTCATTACCTTACTGCATAAAAGTCCTTCGCTCTCGTCCACAGCGAAATTCATCGGTGTTTCCTCCGGCGGAACAGGAGGCGGAGTGGCCACGCCCATCGGCCTGGTAGCAGGAGGAGGAGCCAACACCGCCACCTCATCCAACTCTTCCAAGTGGCTGCTCTCGCCCACATTGGAGGTTTCCAGCGAGGAGAAGACCTCGCTCATCAGCAAACTGAAAACCGATTCGGAGTGTGGAATGCCTGGCGGAATTGGAGCAGGGGCAGGAGAAGGTGTCTCTGGCTATGTGAAGCTCCCGCTAGAAGATCGCAACAAGTACGAGAAGCTGCGCAGCAAGGATCAGCCCACTTCCGACGACTCCGATTCGGAGGGTTCCGAGTTCTTTCAACAGGATAGCGATGAAGGTGGTGGCGGCATCTTCAAGCAGATGCAGCTGGTGACTAGCAATTTGCCGGAGACCATTCATAAGATCCAACAGGTGGCCTATCACAAGGTGGATAAGACAGCCCACTTGCCTATTGTTAAGAAACTGCGCGACAAGACCAAGAAACCCACAACAGCTGCCCACCAGGCGGCGCAGCAACTCAATCTCATGGCCGCCGCGGTGGCTGCCCAGGCAGAAGAAGCTGCCAAGGCGGCCGAATCGGATGGCGACTCCATAGGATCGGCCAGTGATCTGCGGGCAGAGGATGATGATCTCTTCGACGAGAATCCTCGCCAGACGCAAGCCAAACTGCGTCGTCCTCTGCCAACGGAAATGGATGGCATCAGCGAGTCGGTGAAGACCTGCAGCAGTTCAGCTTATCATGCTGAATGTGAAAGTGTGACCACCCATGAGGACGATGTGCGGAGCAGGGTGGTGGTTAAGGTGCGGATGAGGAAGAAGGACCGTGGTCTGGTCGCTGGTGGCAGCGGAGATCCGAGCGCCCCGTCCGAGGAACTAAGTCCCACTTCCAGCGATTTGCTGCACAAGTTCGGCGATCGTCCGTTGTTGCTGGATGATGAATTGGACTACGGTTCCGGAGAAAGCAAGAGCAGCACCGAATCTCCGCTGGCGGCAGCTTTACCCACTAAACCCGAGGTACTGGAATCCGAGGAAGATGTGTTTGCCCTGGCTCCCTTTAAGTTACCCGTGGGAATTCCTCTGAAAAAGAAGAGTAAGCCCAAGTCGAAGGCCAAGGAGATGTGGACCTCAACGCCAGTTAAGGGTGATGCCTCGACCAACTTTGCCAGCTTTCCAACGCAGCTGACGCCAACAAATCAGGCGGGGAACTCCCCACAGCTAGATGAGTTTAATGAACCAATTTTTAATCCCTTCCAGGAGAAGTCAGAGGCCGTGGCCAACAACCAATGCGATCTGTTCGGCCTGGAGCCATTTCCACAGGTAATTCGCACCATCGAACAGAACCCACAGCACCACCAGATCCACCAGCTCCACCAATTTCCCAGCCACAATAACAACAACAACAACCATGTGATCAAAGTGCCCGCCTCCGTGTCTGTGTCTCTTCCTGCCTCTGTTCCCGTGTCCGTTTCTGTTAATTCGTCTGCCCCACAACAACTGGTGACCATAAATCACTCGATTATTATCAACAAAACGCCGGAGCCACCGATGAACTATAATAGTAATAATAATAATAATAACCAGACGGTCAAGTCGAGTGGCACCAGCAGTGTCTATGTGAATGTGCCGTCTTACTCCAGCATTAGCACCAGTTGCAGCTCCATTAACCAGCCACAATCCTCACCAGCAGCAGCAGCTGTGATCCCAGTTCCGGCACCTGTTCCACCAGTTCCTGCCCCCGTTTCCGTTGCTGCTCCGGCTGCTCCCGCCACCATAACCCATCTCCGACCATTGCTGCCCATTGCCGATAATGCTTATGTGCAAATCTCCCAAGATCGCTGCTCCGATTTCACACCGGACGACGAGGAGGAGCCCGTGGTGCTGCGTGATGCCGATGTGGTGGCAGACGGAATCGGTGTACCTGCCGCTGGGAAGGCCAAGAAGGAGAAGTCCCATCTGGCTGTGAGGGTTCTGCCGGGAAAGCTCACGCAAAAAGTGAAGGGGCATTCGTACAAGAAAGTAAGTGCTGCTGCCCTGGGATCCACCAGTTCGCTGAGTTCCGGCAGCAAGCAAAAGCATCAGCGATTGCAGTACCAGTCTCACGATGATGACGACGACGACGAGCAGGATCAGGATGAGAATCGAGGAGCTGGTGGCAGTCGCAATTTCCAATCAAATACCATACAAAATTCAGCGAAAACGGGCTTCAGCAACATGAGCTTTGAGGACTTTCCCTCGGATCAGGAAATGGATCGCTTGTCCAGGACCATTCCTTTTGAAGTGGTGAGGAACGAGAAGATGTTACTCGAGGCGGAAAAGAAATTCGGCTCCCTCAAAAGGCGCAACAATCTGTTCTCGTAAATCGGAAGAAAGGGCAAAAACTATCAAGGAGACCTGAGACTGAGTGTTTCAAATTATTTTGGCATTTCGTTTAAGCTTTTCTCCGTTCTTTGTATCGTTCCAATAACTAAAATATCTGTATTTTTTGAGCCTAGTATTTATTCGCGTGTAGCAATGTTGAAAAGTGGTTAATATTATAACCACAGACATATTATACACAGAACAAGATCCAATACCTATAACTGTTATTTAGTGCAAAAATGTAAAATAGATTTAGAAGTGAAACATGTTTTAGAATTTATACAATGCGTAAGTCTACCAAAGTTACATTTATGTTTGTGGCATTTTTCAGCATGAAATATTCCCTCAATTATTTATTTATACAAAACTATGTGATTATACACCCAATAACAACCCCAAAAACAATTTATTGCTTAAACCAATTGCATTCACTAACACCAAGGTATTTAAGAATTAATTATTCTATCCGTATCGATTAACATACTCGTCTATGTTAGTACACCATTTGTTTTGCATATGTATTATCTCGATTATATAAAATATGCGTATTCTATTTATATTTGAACCCAGTGTTTTAATTGGTGTCCTTGGGAAATAATCACAAGTGTGTAAAAGTCACAAAAACTTGGTACTTCAATAAAATAAATTTTTTTTAAGAATCATTGTTCAATTTTCTAGCTACGACTGTTGGCGAGGCAGTGTGTCAGCTGTAGGGTTGCTTTTGTCAAAAGATAACGTAAAGACATCTGTTGCTTGTTCAAAATATATATACTTTCTTTGCGGTTAAGTACCTTATAATTTTTCTCTTTGTCAACGCTTGTTGCTATTTTAGTACTTTCGTGACATTAAATGCCATTGAATTCTTACACACTTACAGTAGGAATCAATTATAAAGGGTTTGTAAATTATTAGCTTAAACATTCCTATTGCTTTCCATTTTTTTTAATTTTAAATTTATATTTGAATTAATTTCAATTAAAATTCAATAGTTCAAGAGGTGTTATCAAGATAACAATTTCCGCTTTATTAAAAACTTATTTGATCTGATCAACTTATAATTTTGTAAAATACTTTACAATTTTTTTTTTAATTTTAAATGTATATTTAAATTCAATTCAATTAAAATTCAATAGTTCAAGAGGTGTTAGCAAGATAACAATTTCCGCTAAATTAAAGAACTTTTCTGATCTGATTAACTTATTATTTTGTAAAATACTTTACAGTTTCACTACATTGAGTGTTCACTGTACCCAACTCGTAAACAAAGAACAGCTGAGCTGTGTAAAAGTATAGGTGAGTTTTTGTGTTGTGAAAACTCACACAAGATAAGCGAAAAAGTTGCCAGCCCAAGCGAAAAAATCCGACAAAAATAATAAAATTCCAAGTCAACAAAAACTCACAATATCACGTATCTGTCAGATACAAAATACAGTCGTATCGGATTGGTAGCACCGGAAAAAGTGTTTAGTCTAACGAATCACGTAGACCACAAAAGTCATGGAGAAGAACCACAGTTGGAACTGGAGCAACAAAGGAATACTGGTCAAATGCGGAGGGTTCTCATCGCAATTGGCCAAGAATGTAACCGAAAAAGTGGACGGAGATCCATTGTGGGGCTCCCGATTTGATGCCACGAATCCGGAGGCTGTGATTAAGACTCATCTCGACTTTCTGCGTAATGGAGCGGATATTATTCTAACTAATACGTATCAGTCCAGTGTGGAGGGATTCGTCAAGTATCTGGGTGTGAGCAGGGATCGTGGTGTTGAGCTAATCCAAAAGAGTGTTCATCTGGCCAAGGAGGCCAAGAAACAGTTTCTTATAGAGACGAATTCAGGACTGGAATCCGCTTTTCCCCTGATCTTGGCCTCTATAGGTCCCTATGGCGCATGCCTCAACGATGGATCCGAGTATTCCGGCAACTATGCGGACAAGATAAGCAAGGATCAGCTGAAGGAGTGGCACCGGACCAGATTAGAGATATGTCTGGCAGCTGGAGTCGATGGATTGGCCCTGGAAACACTTCCCTGCCAGTTGGAAGCGGAGGCAGTTACCGAATTGGTACTCGATAATTATCCGGAGTCCAAATTTTGGGTCTCGTTTCAGTGCAAGGTGAGTAATTGTGTTCCATTAGGCAAGAGAAAGATATTATTATTGATATTTTCCACGAGGCAAGTTAAACTCGGAAGTTTAAGATATGGAATATAATATTTAAATACTAAGACGATCGCTATAATATTTTTAGATTTTCTATTTTAATTACCTAACCAAATGAATCTTGAAAAAATATTTCAAAAGCATTTAAAAAATTTGCTGTTCTGCAATAACTTTATTAAAAATGTTAGTTAGATAGTTGATCACACTCATAAAAATAATTTTCTACATTTTAGAAAATCGCCCTAAAAAAAATTTCGCCCTTGAACTGAGAAAAATTTTCTATTTTCACGACAAATTTGCCATAAATTCAAGGCAGGTGGCAATAAAAAAATCTTTTTAGGGTAAATTTTTTCTATTTTTCTAATATTTAGGGCGTTTGTTTTCGATTTGCTTCGTTTTGACCTTTTCTAAATCCAACGGCGAATTGCCCTAATTTTTTTTCTGGAATTTTTCTAAATATGGGCGATTTTGTAAATCCACGGGCGAAAAGTCAGTTTTTTAGGGCGATTTAGGGTAAAAATTTCTATGAATGCACTTCAGATTGGTTTTCTAAAGCTGAATAAAAAATTATTCTGTAATTGATATCTACTATTCCGATTAATATTTTTTATTTCTACCTACATAAATAAGTATTCTTACATATATTTTTTAAAAATGTAGTTTCAAATTGAAATGTAAAGTGGCACTTTAACAAACACTCTGTATCTCTAATTTCAGGATGAAAAGAGCCTGGCGAGTGGCGAATCTTTTGCCCAGGCAGCTCTTACAGTATGGCGGTTGGTCCAAGACCGAAAGGCTGAGGACCGGCTCCTGGGAATCGGTCTCAACTGTGTGAACCCACTTTTTGTGACGCCTTTGCTATCATCTCTTACCAAAGCAGCCGGACCAAACCGAATCCCACTGGTGGTCTACAGCAATCGCGGCGAGATTTACGATGCGGATCAGGGCGAGTGGACTGGAAACGGCGAGGAGGTGGTCAAATTTGTGCCCGAGTGGCTCCGGCTGGGAGTCCGCATCGTTGGCGGCTGTTGCCGGGTCTATCCGACGGATGTGTTGGCGATCCGCAAGTACGTCGATAGCCTCAGCATAAAGCCCTAATCGGTCGAGCACTCCGAGCACTGATAGCTGCCTTGTCGTTAATGCGAAAGCCGTTTCGTGTGACTAGACCTAGACCTATTTAGTTTGCTAAATACATATGTACATTTTTGTACCCAGATCAGATGGGCTGCCTAATCAGCAGAGAGTGGAAAAAAGCATGGACGGCTGGGAGACAAAAACAGATTAGACGGGCGGACCAAAGGTAAACAAGTGGGCTGGGGACAGGACGGTCACCCGGCGACTGTTTTTGCAAACCTAGCTCAATTTAAGTCGGAATCCAAATCGCAAAAATCTCTGATTCAATTATTATAAAACAACATGCATTTGTCCTTTAAAATAAAGTTTAATACATTTTTACTCTTCATTATCGTCTTTCATTTTGAAAAAAGCACACTTTTTGAAGAAATTATTTATCTCTTTAGATTAGTATGAGTAATAAAATTAAAAATGTTTATACCCTTGCAGAGGTTATTATAATTTTACTCAGACGTTTGCAACGCAATGAAGTAGCCATTTTCAATCCTATCAAAAAATCTCTTATTTTTATAAATCACATGCATTTGTCCTCTAAAATAAAGTTTAATACATTTTTACTCTTCATTATCGTCTTTCATTTTGATAAAAGCCAACTTTTTGAAGAAGCTTTATTTTAGTTGAAGAAAAATTATTTATCTCTTTAGATTAGTATGAATAGAAAAATTAAAAATTTTTATACCCTTGCAGAGGTTGTTATAATTTTAATCAGATGTTTGCAACGCACCAAAGTAGCCATGCCATTTTTAATCCTGTTTATATATTGTTGATTAGCATCAATAGCCTTGGTTTAGCTTGAAGCGAAGTTGTCTTCCTTGTTATTTAAATCACTGCCTGGAAAAAAATTATAAATTTATTTAAATTTCCTATTTTCTTTTCTTTTTTCCACAAAAAATTAATTAAAGTCATTTTTGGTGCGACCCAGGCTTAAACAATTCACAAAATATGATTTAATTAACAAAAAAGCGCTGTGTTTCCAAAATTTGATCCCTTTATTTCTCTTATTTACACTTTTATTAAAAAATTATTTTTATCTTTTTTTTGCTAACCTTTGTATCCGGATAGACTAGTAGATAAACAGGGCAATGTTGTAAAAATTAGAATGTTAGGCCTTCCGAATGCAATATTAACTCTATAAAATATTGTTATACGTATATTCTGGACCTAAATTTTGTTACCTTAATAGTTTCAATTATACCGCCCTAGCGGTATGCTACAATTTAAGAATCAATGGTATGGATGGTATCAGATGCCCCAATTTTACTTCTTATTACAGAGTTTCCTGTTTGTTTTCTTAGGTAAACATTCATATATTATTTTACATTTACATCAATCAATAAATTTATTTTTGGACCACAATCATCTGCTGTTGGAATCACCCGCTGCTACCCTCTGAAGAGGGCAGAGTCAACAACCAAGTACATCTTCGATTGATGGTTCTACCCAGCTTCCAGAGGTTATCGACGCCGATTTAGCCGAGATCCCGAGCAGCAGATGCCGAGTCCCAGCGCTCGGAAACCTGGACCACGCACTCCGGCGCTTTGACGATTTCATCAGCCTTGTGGAGGAGGAGTCGCAGTCAACCCGGACAATCCAATCTGGCTGGCCAGCGTCTGGCAGCTGTGCACCCGCCTTATCAAGCAGAAAGTATCACTTGGTGGGGGCATTCTCGTGTTTGTGTTTGTGTTTGCCGTTTTGTTTTGTTATAAATTTTATTTATTAATTTCGCCCTGATAAGCCGCACAGCTGAGTGGCTGGCCAGAAGGTATAAAAGGCCCTCAATCTGCTGTAAAACACTTAAACGTTTGGCGAGCACCCAGTGCGACAGATCGTATCCACGTCCACCCGTCTGAGAGTTCTGTGAAAAAGAAAACAAAAAGCTTGATAACCAGCCAGACTAGCGTCTAATAAAGTTGTTATTGAATTTAGCGATTTACAAGATCTATAAATAAGCTGCCAAGGTGAGTGCGGGACATTACCGTGTGTTTGCGGCTGACTGACAGCCAGATTCTCTGCCAGAAGCTGTGTAAATTATCTAAAGAAGGTTCTAAGTTGATTCCACATTTTAAAAAAATATTGATAAAATAATATAGCATAATAAAATATCATTGATATATTAATTGTAATAATTCCAAAATTCACAAAAAAAAACATCAACAATATTTGTTACAATACTATAATAATTTTCTTTAAAAAAAAATAATTATAATTTTAATTTTTTTAATAACATTGATTTTTTAGAGTTGAAATTTAATATTCAGATTCATAATTATTATTTCTTTAACCTGTATGATTGTAGAGTATCTGAATGTATGAATTTAAAATTAGTATTTTATTAATATTAAAACATAAGTGGGTTTAAACAAAAAATGTTTACAAAAATCTGTATTTACTAGAGCAATATTCAGCAATATTATAAAATGTAGCCCTATTTTCTAGAATGCACTTCTAAGATTAAGTTGTCAGTGCACTTGTCTTCCGTTCTGCAAGGTTCGTTGAACCAGAAAGTGGCGATAAGTTTCTGTGATCCATTTAATAAACAACTTTGCTAGGCAACTTTGCAACATTGTTTTTTAAATCAATCAGAATTTAATGGGCAATCGGCCAGATGTCGGGGCTCATATAACAAAACCCTCAGAATAAATACATATCAATTATCTGCCATTGCTCTGACGTATGTAACTAATAAATAATTTTGCATGGTCCCTCCCCCTTTCAGTAAGCCTTGTAATCATGGGATTGACGCGCGTGCTTGTGAAGGATGGCGGGTTCGGCACCCAGATGACCGTTCATGTGGGCAACTCAGTGGATGGGGATCCGCTGTGGAGTGCCCGATTCAACGCCACCAATCCGGGGGCCATCATCAGTACCCACCTGGATTTCTTGCAGAGTGAGCATCTGGTTGCCATGGCAGGAGCAATTAGCAACAGACTAACCGAATTTTCCCCCCGACAACAACAGATGGAGCCGATATCATTTTAACCAACACCTATCAGTCCAGTGTCGAGGGTTACATGGAGTATCTGGAGCTGGACGAGGAGCAGAGCATCGAGCTGATAAGGAACACGGTCCGCTTGGCCCACATCGCCAAGGAGCGCTATCTCACCGAGTGTTATCAGGCCCAGCTGGCGGTTCCGGAAGGTAAGTGCAGATCCTGCTGGATCCATCATATCTAGAATTGGTTAGCACGTGCGGGATCAATTGATAATTTGATTAATACTACTATAGATTGTAATTAAGTTATTATTATTATTTGCTCCTGTTTTTTAAAATTTTTATTGGGGTTTTTTAGATTGACTTGACATTCAACTTGTAGTTTTTCGGGGATTTGTATTAAAAATTTTTGATTTGCTTTAGGATGAATCGTAAAAGATTAAGAATTAATTGAGTTAAAAAAGAAAATATTTATAATTTGTAAAAAGATAAGAGTACATACATTTCTATTTTATCCAAAATTTATTAGAAAAAAATATTTTTTTTAGGCCTGATTAACCCTTTATGCTTTATTATGCTTTGGTTAATCCTACTATAGATTGTAATTAAGTCATTATTTATTATTATTATTATTTGCTCCTGATTTTCTCATTTTTATTCGGGTTTTTTAGACATTTTTTAGACTTGACATTTAACTTGTAGATTTTCGGGGATTTGTAATCAAAATTTTGAATTTGCTTAGGATCGTAAAAGGTTAAGAATTATTTGAGTTAAACGTTAAAAAGAAAATATTTATAGTTTTTAAATATATTTGATTACATACATTTCTATTTTTCAACATTTATTATAAAAAAAAATGTTTTGTAGGCTACCCCTTGATTATTGCGTCTATTGGACCCTATGGAGCCCATCTGCACGATGGCTCCGAGTACACCGGCAGCTATGCCGATTACGTTCCGGCCAAGGAGATCACTGACTGGCATCGCGTAAGGATCGAAGCCTGCTTGGAGGCCGGCGTGGATGCACTGGCCATCGAGACGATTCCCTGCCAAATGGAAGCGGAGGCTCTGGTGGAGATGCTCTGTGACGACTATCCGGACGTCAAATTCTGGGTGGCCTTTCAGTGCAAGGATGAGAGCACCTTGGCGCATGGCGAGACCTTTGCGGAAGCCGCAAATGCAATTTGGGACTTGTTGGCAGAACGAAATGCCCAGGATAAATGCCTGGCCATCGGAGTGAATTGCGTGCATCCCAAATTTGTGACTCCGCTGTTCAAGAGTTTGAACGGAGATCGCGAAGTGGAGGAGCAGATTCCTCTGGTGGTGTACCCAAACAGTGGAGAGGTTTATGACGTGGTCAACGGGTGGCAGGGAAGGGAGCACTGTGTGCCCCTCGCGAACTACGTACCCGAGTGGGCGCAACTGGGGGCCAAGGTCATTGGGGGATGCTGTCGCACCTATGCGAGGGATATCCGCCACATCGGAGAGGCCATTCGCGACTGGAACAAGCTGAAGAAGTTGTCCTAGAGGCGAACCCTTAAGCTGAGGATCTCAGTAACTTCGAACAGAACAAAATGCATTTCAAATTAGTCTTGTAAATACACGTAGTTAATTATTAAGGCTTAGAAGTTAATTAAATAAAGAAAATTCTGAAAGAACACTTCGATTTTTATTTTACAGTAATATTATCAAACTAATAAGAAATTTGATTTGGAAAAACTTTTTAAATTAATTTGTAATGTGTTAAACGGTTTTCATTTTCTTAAATGACTGAAACATAAATATCTGTTTTGGAATTTAAGCTAAGTAAGGTGCTAATTATTTAAAGACAGTTACCTTTATGATTCAAATTTTAAAAAAGCAACAAAACTTTTAAAAAATTGTGACTATCGATAGCGCTGTCAATTGCCAGTCACTACGAAGCGAGGTGAATTTTCAGAGCGCGCAAACATCGATAGAATTTTATTTTCGCATAAAATACATTTTTTAATTTTTCTAGTTATGAATTACGTTTCCTTTGTCGGGAAACTGCGAATTAATGCAATGATTTCAAATACTTGTGTTATCATGGTCAAAAAAACTATCGATATTCCAACCATCGGCAGTGTAATCGATGTTTTGACAGCCTAGTCGAACTAACGCCGAAAGTGACAGCCAAAAAAAGAGAACCAGCTGTGGAAATTTGCAAAAATTGTAGATAATCTAGCAATTGTACAGAACCGCCTCGCTAAACTCACACAACATGTTGATCAAAGTGAAGGTAAGAAAGGGCAAAGACATTTTCGCAATAGTCTGGGATTATTACCGATTGAAGCCGCTACGCCAAGCGTCCCTTTAAACAACAACAATTGAGGTGGATTTCGGGGTGCCAAAATAATATTAATAAATATGTATTATACCTCCTTTAGACCCTGACCGGCAAGGAAATCGAGATCGACATTGAGCCCACGGACAAGGTGGATCGCATCAAGGAGCGAGTGGAGGAAAAGGAGGGCATTCCGCCCCAGCAACAGCGTCTCATTTTCTCCGGCAAGCAAATGTGAGTTCTTCTGGGTTATTAGTCATTGACTCTAAATAATTTTGGATGCTATCCCTCTCAAGGAATGATGACAAAACTGCGGCGGACTACAAGGTGCAGGGCGGCTCGGTTCTCCACTTGGTTTTGGCCCTGCGAGGCGGTGATTCCATCCTGATACCCTGTCTGTAACTAGCCTATTAAGCGGAAAACATTCATTTCAAATTCACTCAAATATATTAAGCTTGAGAAGCAGCGTATGGAGAATGATATATGTAAACTATAAACTCAGTCTGAAAAGTGGTTAAAAAGGAAGAATAATAAACAATAGCGAAAATCCGATTAGGTCTAGGCCACAAATCGTATCTTGATTACTAGAGCCCTGCATTATTTTGAATTTGTTGATTTATATGAATGAATTAATTATAATTTTGAGTTTAATAGAATTGAATGAAATGGAATTTTGAGATCAATAGAATTGAATGAATGAATGGCCATAATCTTGTGATTAAATCTGTATGAATTTTAAAAATTGATTTGTTAAAAATTGTTGGAATGAATTCAATTAACTATTTTGAATTTTTGGTTTTATATGAATGAATTAATTATAATTTTGAGTTTAATAGAATCGAATGAATGAATGGCATGAATTCCAAAATAAGTAAAACGACAATTTCTTTTCAAGTAAAAAGTGCCATAATTTTGTGGGTAAATCTGCATGAATTTTATTTTCTAAGTAGCTAACATTGATTTGTTAAAAATTTTCCACTTTTTGTTCTCAAAAGAAAGCACAAAAAAATCGGGCAAATTCAAAAAATTCATAAAAGTTATGGATTTATTCATTCAATTCGAAATAAATTAGAAAAGCATTCAATTTATTTCACATAAAATTGAATTAAACAAATCAGAAATTTCATGGCATACTATGATAAAACAAAAATTGAATGATTCACGCATGAATGATTATATTCTTTACTAGAACATTAAGCAATTCCCAGTAATATTTAAAAAGGATTAAAAATGCATTTATTTCGTGTAAGTGGCAGTTTGAAAGCTCAGTTCTGTTTAACAAAACGTCCGACTAGCAGGTGATTCTTTGGCGTGCACTGCTCGGGCTTCAAGCGCGTGAGGATCACCTGGTAGCCCGCCTCCTCCGCCTGCAGCTGGCGATCGGTGTCCACCACGGACATGCAGTGGAGTCCCTGCAGCGTGGTCTCCGGCTTGCAGTTGGTGGTGCCCATTTCGTGGGCCTGATCCGCCGAATGGGCGATGTACAGGTAGTCCTTTGTACCCAAAACACTTTTAAAGGCTTCACTCAGCGGATATGAAATGTGCGGCATCGGCTGCAGGGATCCGTAGCAGCAGGGACAGCAAACAAAGTGCGCTTTGGCCCGGCGGCACTGCTGCAAAACGATATCCGTGGCAGTTCCGCAGGCGTGCAGAGAAGCCCCGATCTCGAAGTCTCCCACAAAGTAATCTATATTGCATTGGTAGAACACGCAGTTGGTCAGGCCCAATTCGATGGTTCTCTTTTGAGCCTGCAGCAGCGAGAAAGCTTTGTTTTCCATCACAATAACCGTGCACTTCGGCAGTTTGAGGGCCAGCAAAATGGCCAAATGGCCTGTGCCGCTGCAAAAGTCAACGATGCGATCGCCCGGTTGCGCCAAGGAGACCACCGCATTGGCCATGTTCTCAAGCTGCTGACGCTTGCGCTCGAGTCGCTCCTTGGGCAGCGCTGAACTCTTGGCATGCGTGGGCTCAATCTGCTCCCAGTTGATGAGCTGCTGTCCATAGGAATGCTCAGAGTCCGAGTTAAATTGCAGCTTAAGCGAAGAAAGCTTAGATAAGGCCGCTTCCACTTCCAACTGACTGGTGTAGATTCGATTTCTTGGCTTATATCGCTTGGGATCGGCCTTGTACAGACTGGTGGCCTCGCAGTCGGGAATGCCGAGGTCTCCGGGCGGAGTCTTCACTGCCTCAGGCACATATATCTCCTTCAGGATCCTCGAGCACTTGTCATCGAAGGAGTCGATCTGAAAGGGATAGCAATTTAGGTATTACTGCTGAAATATAGGTAATCTTTCATATTAACCTCACTAAACCAAGTGCTGGTGAGAGGAAAATGGGGCAGCATCTGCCTGCAATGCTGGAAGACGATTCGTAGCAGGGGATACAGGATGAGATCAGCAATTGTGAAGCTAATGCCCTCGGCGAATCGGTGTTCTATGAGCAGCTCCTCCTTGGGCGTGGTGCACTTGATCTGCACTCGCTCCCTTCTCTTGACTTGGACGCCATTCTCCGTCTGATTAGCCTGCTCCCTGGCCTGCTTGTAGATGTTGTGCATCCTCACCGGTTCGTTCATATGTTGCTCGAATCTAACGACTTCCGGTGGGATGGCAGTCAGAATTTGACCATTGTGAAGGTTACTAACAACATTCACTACATCCACCTCACAGAATCTGGTCCAAATCGAAGCTTCAGACGGAGCCAAAAGGCAGCTGCCCTTGAAGCCTAAAAGTTTCTTCAGTTCCTCATTCGGTTGCCGGGCGATGAGCTCCCTGAAATCAAGGAAATTTATTAGAATTTAATTTTAAATGTATAGATCAATAGAACCAACCTGCAGACAGCACAGGTCCCTGCTATAAACGTATTTCCTTCCTTCTCATAAATGGGAAGTTTCAAATTCCGGATGGCGGGCAATGAGGCGGCTTCCCTGCACGTGATGTGCTGCTCCGTCAGCTCCTTTTTCAGCTGGGAGCTCCGTAAAGCTATTTTACCACCTTCGATCTTCGGGTAGAATTGGTTAATTAACTTTCTCTTAGCTATTATATTAATCTGCAATCCCATACCTTTGTGGAAACAAAGTTGACCCGCACATTTTTCGGATTGTTCAGAAATTTGTACGTAAACAAGGCCAAGAACGAGGAGACACTGGTGTAGATGGTGGTCTCCTTCTGGGTACTGATCTCGATCTCCAGGTACAAATGATCCATAGTTTCATAAACGGATCATTAAGGCAAATTGGAAACTAAACAAAAACCAAAAATAAAATAAACTAGCGAGGAAATAATAAACCAGCTGGGGGCCAAACAGAAGGAAGAAGAACAGGGGACATTCACCTGTCGGCGTACTGGGCGACGTGTAAGTAACTTATCGATTGTTTAACAGCCTGGTGAAATGCGCACTATTTAAATTTACAATTTCGGTTACCTCTTGCATGCCGTTATTTAGTTGGGGTATTCGTATCCTATTATATGGCTTAAAATTTGAATTCTATCTTCGAGTAAAGTCAATGAAATCGACTTCGGGCTATTACTTATACCCTATAAGCGTTTATTTTATAAAATGCCATTTACAATTGTAAATTTGTTCATCTATATAAATGATATTAACTTTCTATTGCTTCTAAAACAACTTTTTTTCTCTGGGGTAAGTAATTATTTTATGTTTTTTTCCTTTTAGAACGTTTTATGAAAATATATCTTTAAGTCCCTACCATTGTTCCTGCAATCCTTTTCGAGTTAACAAAGACTCGTTCTGGTCCGCCTTTACCATACTCTTGTTGACCATCCTCTTTTTTAGTCTCTGCCTTTCCCCTTCCTGTTCTCACCAACTCCCCCCTTTTGTCATGCTCCCATTGCTGATGGCTAAAAATAAAGTTCTTGTTGCCGCTGTTCTTCTGGCTCAGCAAAAAGGGCAACATAATGCTTCATACACTTCCCTTGCAAACGGTCTTAACTCTTTTGGGAATATGTTGGTAAGACATATAGGAAAATATATTTAACAAGAAGTAAAACGATAAAAGCTATATTTTAAAGAAATTCAAATGTTGCTGGCAATCTAAATACTCGGTTGAATGAAACCATTGGACCTAAGAAAACATTTTAAAATATTTTACAATTCAGCTTTTAAATACATTTGAGTTTTGAAAATGAAAAACAATTTCCAAATTAAAGTAAGGGTAAGAGGTTTATAGTAAAGGGCAATCAGGTACAACTATAGGGTATTAACTGCCTCATTGCTGACGAGTTAATTTTAGCCATTTCGAGGAACGATGGGCCCAAGGAATGGGGAATGGGCATAAGGTAATGGTAATGGTGATGGCGAATGGGAAATGTGGAATGGAGGAACGAATGTTGGACTGTTTCATTTACCTGCTGCACTTTGCTGCGTGCCTGCTGCAATTTCTAATCGAAACGAAACCTTCTACCCTAATGATGGCCTCGGGAAATAACCTTGGCCCTTTGTTAGCTGAAAAATCGGAGTTTCGCCTGGCGAGATAATCATTTTTTGGAGGGAGAAACATCAACATGCAACATGCTGCATGTATGAGATCAGCGAGTTCGAAAAACTGTTCGCCTGCTCGAAGTTGTTCCGTTAAAATCTGTGCTCTGGGGCAGAGGCCACAAAATGTTGCACAAAACATCCAGGGGAGCAACATAAAAGGGCCAGCAGCAGTCGTCTCTCTCCCACTCGCCCCCTTCCTTCGAGCCCTTCGCTGGCGATGCAACAGCCCAACACTCTAGCCCTCTCGCTCTGGCTTAGAATTCTTTTTCGCTTGGAAATGACATGGGGAATATGTAGCATGGGAATCGCTATGGGAATCGGGAAGTGGACGGGAAGGGGTGCTTTGCGTGGCCGCTCTAACTGATTCTGAGGTCGCTTTTCTGCGCTGCTGCTTGCCTGTTCCCGGACACCATCGAAATTTCACATGTATTCCCACGGCCTGAATTTTCCCATGAAGAAGAGGAAGAGGATGGGGAGAATTTCAACAAGAGACAGCCGGAGAATCGCTCACACACACACTGCCTCTTTTTTTCCGTTTTTTTTATTGTTGCATTGAGCCTGGTCGGTGCACTGAAAAAGATTATCCTACAGGATTTTCAAAAATAGTATTAGGTTCCTTTGAATGCTGGTGGAGCTAACTTCTTATTAAATATTATTATTATAAAATATTTAAAATATTTGGAAAGAACTATTCCAAAGCCAAATAGTTTTTCTTTTCCAGGGTATTGGGGAATTTCAGAATTTTATTCAGGTTTAAAATAGTTAAAATAGGTAATTTTCCAACAAAGTGTTTCCTTTTCTTGAAATCATACTAAATATAAAAAACTATACAATTTTTCTAGACGGGGATTATGCACACCTAAATCTATATAATGGGATTTGTTTAGTTATTGATAGGTCAAATAATTAAAACCAATATGGAGCCACATATAAATTTAATCAAATTGTACTTTATTATTAAAAAGGTAATTTTCTAAATATGAGTTAATAAAAATGTATCGATATAAATTTAGCTCAGTGCATGGTTCTTCCGTTCCTCCAGCGCTGCCGGTCGTTTTGTTTATGCTGCTGTTGCTGTTGATGCTGTCCCTTCTCGTATTCCCATTGCCCTGCTCCATGCTCCTCCTCCCGGTCCATGGCATTGCCTCAGGTCCAGACTGGTCCTGGTCATGGACCCTTGTCCCTCTTCGAACTTTGCTTGTGCATCCGCTTGGGTTAACATCTTCTTCATCTGCCTCGCTCGAAGTCGTGTCCGTCCCCGGCATCGAATTCCTTTGGTGACCAAGTCTGGCTTCTTTAACCTCTCCTTGCTAAGGCATCTTCTTCATCGCAGGCACTGTGGATTGCGAGTAGAAATTCGTTCAAAATATTTCATGCATCAGGGGTGATCCACCAAATGATTACTGTAGTGCACATTTTTTTTTTTTTTATGAAGAATTGGTTACATTGCGTGGAGGGGGTTATAAATTGCCGAAATTTAAACAAGACATCGGCCAGGCATTTAAATTATATATAGAACATTGTGACCCAATTGTTTTGAAAAGTTCTAGGCTCAATTACTTACCTACAAAACACTTTTAAGGAAAAAATTCCGAATATATCACCAACTTCTTCTCAAGGGCGGTGTCCACAAGCGGTACAGAAAGTTCCCAATAGCCGAAATCAGAGTTGTAGTCACGTGTACACTGTACTGCAAGGGTACGTAAAGAAATTCCAGACCCTGTAGAGGATTTGGGCGTATTGAATGGATATTGGAAACCGGTATTATTGCCATGTTCGGGAGTGCAAGGATTACAAAAGCAAACGGGAGAATTTGATTTCGAACGAAATGCTTAAAACATAAAGAATATTGAATTTGACAACCGAATGAAAGACATAAGGGAAAGAGCTACTAAGAATTATATAAGAAAATCATACGTAAAATTAATTTAAAAAGTTGAAAGTTAAGATTATGAAAAAAAAAAGTTTTAAGTCAATCGGACATAAACTTTAGAAGTTATACTAAAACTAGTACCCTAACCTCTAAGACTTTAGGTACGTAAGTGCATCTTTTAGTGCGTTTTTCTCGAAACCACGTTTCAAAAGTCTATGTTTCTAAACGGCTCAACCGATCGTTTTCAAATTTGCTGCATAGTTTTCTGCAGAACAAAAAACCCGCCCCCTGGGAACCGTTTTTATTTTATTTTTTAACTTTAAATAATTTATTTTTAAGCCGAAAATCAAATTTTTTAGGTGAAAAACGCATTTTTGACTTTGGACTTCCCAAAAAATTTGTTAAAAATAAAAAATTAAAAAAAGGGCTTCCCAGGGGGAGGGTTCTTTTTTTTAATTCTTAAGCGAAATGTAAAAACAAAATGGAAAATGAACACCGCAAAACGCCTTTTTTTAATAGTGTTCCAGCAATCGCTTTTGCCACCGATATATTAGCCGATAGTATCGGCTATAAAAATTAGTGCATGATATTTAAATAACACTTAATAATATACAAAAGGTTTGAATTAAATCCATCCAACCAGTTTTTATAGAAAAAATCGCAAAGTTAGTCGATTTTTTGGTGCCAAAGACCCTTAAAGATCTATGTTTTACAGGTATTGAGTACTTCTTGAGCCCACTGTGCCCCACCGAAAGCGGCCTTGGTTGGCTCCAGGAATGTCTAAGCAATTGCCAGACAACTGGAGGCACTTCCTCTGCCTGGTTCTTCGCTTTGGCCTGCTCCTCCCCCTGCCCTTGCGCCCACGGCCTTGGACATGGCTTCTTCTAATGGTCGGCCCCACGAATGTCGTGTCTCCACTCCCCCTTCCCCTTGCCCACTTCACCCTCCTCTTGAGCTTCAGTTCCCGATAATGTGGCATTGACTTGGCAGCAGTTATTCCAGTTATGTGCGCCACACTTCGTCAGACATGCAGCTATATGCTCCGGCTACTGCACTCCTGGTCCATCAATATGTTCAAGGATTTTTTCATGCTTCCAGGCATGCCGATGACGTAGGTTGGCAACCCGAGTGACTTCGAAATATGAGAACACCATTACCAAAGAAATGTGCTTACAATGTTAGTACCTTATATCTTCAAATTGGAAAACGAGTCCTTACTCTTATTGAATAAGTGCAACTAAAGTTATCCATTTTATTACATTGGCATAGAAGGAAGTTTAAGCAGCTGAAGAAACATACACTCAGAAAAAAACCAAGCACATTGTGCTTGTTTCAAGCCCAAAAGGTCTTGAAAGGGCGCCAGGTACGAAATGGTTTTTTTTTTCAAGAATGTTTTTTTTACTTAAACCGGCGTTCTTAATTTGAGAAAATTTTTGGGAGGGTGAGGATGAGCCGAGCACAGGTAAGAATTCAATTTAATAAAATGAAACTCCAGTTTTAACTGTTTTATTAGGTTTAAGAGTTCGAGAAAAAATGTCTGAGATTCTTGAAAGCTTCGACTGTAACCTGGATGAAGACAGGTCTGTTCTTGTATCTGACAGAGGGTCTAATATGATATCTGCTTTTAAGACATATCCCCATATTCATTGCTTGAATCACTTAATTCATAACGTAATTGAAAAGGCAGTTAAATACCGGACTTGACAGAAATGATATCCCAATGCAGTAAATTGGTGAAGTATTTTAAAAAATCTGGATGTAACGCTAAGTTACGACTTTCCTTAAAGATCAACTGTCCCACGCGTTGGAATACTTCATTTTATTTGTTACAATCAATTGACGCAAATTGGCTGGACATTTCGAATATTTTAATGGAAAACGAGGACGGAAGCTAACTTCGGCAAGCCGAAGTTTTAATACCCTTGCAGATTTTACGAATTAAAACTTGACTAGACTAGCAACATGAATTAATAAACAACAAAATATTTTATAATTGAAAAAATAAAATTTTAAAATTTTTCACCCTATTGTTCCTATGGGAGCTTTAGGATATAGACGCCCGATCGGCACGCGCGTTTATCCTAATGAAGGTACGCACAAAAAAATACGATTTGGAAAGTTTCATGGGAATAGCTAATATTTTGCGCGAAATATCCTGAAAAACGTCAAATTTTGACCGATTTCACCCTATTGTTCCTATGGGAGCTATAAGATATAGACGTCCGATCGGCACGCGCTTTTACCCTGATCAAGGTACGCACAAAAAAATACGATTTGGAAAGATTCATGCCAATAGCTCTTACACTGAGCGAAATATCTTCATTTTTGTGAAAGCTATATCCGATTGTTCCTATGGGAGCTATAGGATATAGACGTCCGATCGGGTCGGCTTTCAAACTTGATCTGCGTACACATGTTTTAGGACGACTGTGAAAGTTTCAAGGCGCTAGCTTTTAAACTGAGCTCGCAAACGGTATTGAAACAGACATACAGACGGACAGACGGACAGACGGACAGACGGACATGGCTATATCGACTCCCCTATTGATCCTGATCAAGAATATATATACTTTATGGGGTCGGAAACATCTCCTTCAGTGCGTTACAAACTTCTGACCAAAATTATAATACCCTCTGCAAGGGTATAAAAATGAAACTAATCGTTTGGATGCTGTTAACATAAATCATTTAAGATCAATTACACAGCTCCTGGAATCGTTTGAAGGAATTTCCAAAAAATTGGAAGGAAGTAAAAAGGCAACCTTGCACCTAACCATTCCTTACATCAACAAGCTTAAAAAGAAATGCCAACCGGATTCTAGCGATAGCTCTTTCCTAACAGAAGTAAAGTCTATATTGTCCGAACAAATTTCTATGACTATTTATCAAAATTTAAGCAAGTTTCACAAGATAGCACTGTTTTTATTTCCTCCGACAAACAAACTGTTGCAATTTACATCAACTGAAAAACATGAAATTATGCCAAAGTGTAAAGATATAATGATGCAGATCGTCTTAGCAGAGATTAATTCCGAAGGTGTTTTAAGCCAACCTGATTGCCAAGACGATGCTTTTGACGATTACGTCATAAAGCAAACTCAAAAGCCCACGGTGAGCAGAATCGATCGAAAAGTCCAAGGATACAGCAATATGAATGTTATATATAATGACGAATTTGAGTGCTTGGCTTGGTGGATCTCAGAAAAAAATGTGTATCCTATACTATATAAAACTAGTTGCAAAATTTTTAGTTTACCAGCGAGCAGTGCCGCCTCGGAAAAAGCATTTTCAGCTGCTAGAAGCCTGATAACAGAGAAGAGAAGTACTATTGCAGCAAACCCAAACAACATAAACAAAATTTTGTTCTTACAAAACAATATTGAACCATAATTAAAACTTTTTAAACTCCTTTCATAAATTATTTTAATTACCGTACACTCAGAAAAAAAATCGCCCTGAATTTTAGAAAATCGCCATACTTTGAATATCGCCTTGAAATTCAGAAAAAAATTTCTATTTTTCAGAAATATTTTTGTAAAAAATAAGAAAAATTTATCCTGATTAGATCTGCTCCACTTTTAGAAAAACTTTCTGTTTTTCAGAAATTTTGCTTTGAAACTCAGAAAAGTCACCTTACATCTTAGATTTACGTAATATAACACACACATAAATGGCTAAACGAGAGTATAAACCTTGAACCCAAGAGAACAAAATGTGAATGTACTTTGTACAGTGCCTCACGTGATGCTTCCCTGGCGCAGCTATTAGTGTTTGACTGCAAACTGTGAGGTAAGGGGTTCGATTCCCACGAGCGACCAAAATGTTTTTCTCAAGATGGTCAGTTATTTTATTTATATATTCATCATTTGTTAATAATGTATTAATTTCAGTTATTATTTCAGCTATAATATGAAACTAAAGGTGTGTTTAAGTATACTTATTTTTCTGGAGAATCCTTAACTTTATTGTCTAAGGGCCGGTTTCTCGACAGCTGATTTTCCCAAATCACAGCTGACTTTTCCTTTGAATTATACCCAAACAGCCGATGAAATAATCGAAGCACGCCATTTTTTGCGCCTTACAGCACAATTCTGTGCGTTAACAGCACTCTGTAATTGTTTCTCGTTCAGATATATTAAAGCAGTCGAGAAAGCGGATCTGTTTATCTGGTCTTTAAGTTTTTCGAATAGATAGCTATCAGGGTCTTTGACAGGGACTCGAGAAACCGGCCTTATGTGCGTTTAATTTGGGACTTAGTAAGCAGATACTTAGGATTCCTGCCTACAAGCTTTTCTATTGTTTTTTCATAAATTTTGTTGTCATTAAAAATGTTTAACTGGCCGCATATCAAATTAAAACTGTTCTTAAGTAATGTAAAATCGATCTACGTTTCATATCAATTTTTTTGGGTGCACAAAGGAAATATTTAGGAAAATGTTAAACAATATAATAAAGCTTTTATCAAACTTTCTGAAACAGAGACCAACTGATAGTGGAGTTGTTAAATATTTAACCATTTTAAGTACATCGTAACCATTGAGTTGACTGAAACACCACTCTTAAGAACAGGAGAGAGTCAAAAAGAATATTGTGGGCTTCAGGAATCCAGAGTAAAACTCTATCCACCACTCAATTCAAATTATGATTTCCCCAAAACCACCACTCAGTTGTGGCCCCACACAACAAATTTGTGTTTGTGTGTACACCCTCTCAAAAGCGACTCCATGGCGAGAGGTAAACCAACAAACAAACAAACACATACCGCACATGGGCCTGAGAAATTCACACTCAGTTGAAACGGAACGAAATCGGAGGTCGAGTGACTGCCACCGCGATAAATCACATGGGAAGCTGGTTATTCCGCCTGGGCGCCTGTTCGTTAGAGTCCATGAATCGAAATTGTGTGGCTCAAGTGACGATATTGTCTTTTTTCGATTTCGTTTTCCCATCCGTTGCCTTAATTCGAAAATTAGTGTTGGTTAAACTGCGGTCGCTCGAAAAAAGGAGTCTTAGTCGTACGAAGAAGACTCTTGGTAGCTGTAATATAACTTGTTTTTAATATATAGTGACAAAATATACTTGGAAAATATGTACTCGCTACTCAAAAGTTGAGTGTTGAACGGGACAAGTGGGGAGCGGAGCTAGTACCGACTCCGGGTTCTTTTACTTGCGTCTTTTTCGCTCCGCTGGCGCTTCCAATTCGAACAACTAGAGCAGTGAGCAGCATCATTTAGATTTAGACCGGAATTGTAACAGGCCCGCAGCAGCTCTAGTAGACCGGTTTTTCAAGTCGCGGCGATTATTCTCGCCCTCTGGCTGTCCTGCTCTACCGGAGCTACCGTTGTCTCGTTCCCGCGTGGGGAGCTTTCTGTTGGAGCTTCAAGAGCGCCATTAACGGAAAGCTTTTCGTAACCGTTGAATGTGTTTTTAAAGAGAAATTTGATTCATGCCTAATAAGGTAAATTACCTTCTTTACTTCCCTATAAATGTTACAATATAAAACATATTGTAAATTAAACTTTAAATTTATTTTTAAAATCAACAAATCATAGTTGTTTATTTGTTTTTATTTTTTAATTTATCTACTAATTAACTTCTTTAAATGGAATTCACTTTTTATTTTAAATATTCCGATTATATTGATAAATAGCGCGCTCCCTTCGATACCTGTGCCGCCTATCGATTGGCCGATTGCACTGGGCCCCCGAAAAGCAACCTTGCGTTCGAATCAGCTGGCTCTGCTCTGCTGAAATTGGCAGAAATCAGAAGTTTAGTTCAGACGCAATTCGAAGGGATTTTCCAATTTAACCGGGCCCAGGCAAGGAACGGCGTTCTGGAAAGTGGAAGGGATACCGGCTGAGCCCCGATCGACCAAGTCGCGGTGGATATAACCCAGTGACGTCGTGGAAAATGCTGTCCAGTCCGCTGGCGTTGCGAAATTCTGCGACAAAAACAACAAAGAAGCGACGCCTCAAATAGGAGGAACTAGAAACCAGAAATAATCAATTAAAATATCAGCGGAAGCAAGTGTTTCCCTCGGCGGATTGCAATAGACGGGCATCTCACCAGGATTCCGATTGCCCCAAAGGACGAAACCAAAAGTCGCGTGAACAGCTGCAGCCGCTGCGTGGGCAGCGACGCGGCAGAGACGCCGGCACAGGCAGCGCAGCAGCAGCAGCAAAACAGCAACAACAAGCTTTTCGGTCTTCTTTTTTCCAACAATGGAAATGCGAGAGGTCTTGAGTCGCGAGGGCAGAGAGGCGAAGAATCTGCTAGTCTACCAGTTCTGCGATGAGACAACTTCGAGTGGATCCGTGGGCGGAGGAGTTGGAGGAGGAGCAGGTGGCGATGGAGGAGCAGCTGTTGGAAGCGGAGGCGTGCTCTTGAACGGCGACTGTAAGACACGCAAATAGTTGCATTTCGATATCCGGTACTTGAGGATTTTTATTTTAGCAGCTATGATTCCAATTCGATTTGTAATATGTGTATACAGGCGCATAGAAAAGACCATGAAAATGATCTATTTCTAGCCCAAGAGTTTTAATATGTCTTACTAATGTTGTTATGATATGATATACATAACAATCTATAGAATATCGTAGGAACAACAGCTCTAAAGGGCTTTTTGCCGTCCGCTTGTTAAATTTAAAGGAAGCTTTAAACTCTGGATTCCTATACAATTTCAAGGCTTAAACTTAACTTTAAATTTAACATATGGACGAGAAAACGACCTTTTAGATTTATATTTAGCAGAGAATCATAAAATAATTTTTAAAAGGTCTACACAATACAATACAATTTTAATTTGTATTATTTCTATACCATTCTGATATTCAAATCTTAATTTTATGTATATAAACACAGTTAAAGCTTAAAAGTCATTTATTATGTTCGCATTTTGGATAGACATTTTAAAAACTTTAATAATCTAGTGAGTACCGGGTATGGAATTGTCGACTATTTTGACTATGGTTTTGTTTTGAATTTTATACTTAAATGTGTCACCCTTTTCAGGCTATCGTAAACCGCCCATTGTGCCGCCCAAGTCGCCCATTAATACGCCCAAAAACTGCCAGTCGCCCACTTCACCACGGCTGAAAACCTCTGGAAGCGTCGTAGGAAACGGAGGCGGCAGTGGTCCACGCGTGCGCAGCGCTTCCACAGGAAGGGACAAGAAATCAGAGCTGCAAGCCAGATACTGGGCATTGCTCTTCGGAAATCTACAAAGAGCGGTTAACGAGATCTATCAAACAGTGGAGTGCTATGAAAACATATCCAGCTGCCAGGAGGCGATTCTGGTGCTAGAGAACTATGTGCGGGACTTTAAGGCGCTGAGCGAGTGGTTCAAAGTGTCCTGGGACTATGATTCTCGGCCACTGCAGCAGCGACCCCAAAGCCTGGCTTGGGAAATACGCAAGAGCAATCCCACGCCCAGAGTTCGAACCAAAAGTCTCTGCAGTCCCAACAACTCGGGCAAATCGAGTCCAGCCTTGTTTCCCGGCTCTCAATCCGGGAAAACCTCACCGTGCTGTGATCATGGACAGATTTCGCCCAAGAAACTCTTGCGTGCCTACGACCAAGTGCCAAAGGGAGCAATGCGTCTAAATGTCCGAGAACTTTTTGCAGCCAGCAAGCGAGCTACCCAAGGATCAGCCCAATCTGATAACATGGAAGGTCCGCTGGATTTGAGTGGCGACAAGTCAAACTATGTGCAGCTCAACACGCAGTACTCGCAAACGGATCTGGAGGATCCGCACTTAACTCTGGCGGATGTTAGGGAGAAAATGCGTAGGGAGGCGGAGGAAAGAGAAGCTCAGGAGAAGATTAAGAAGGCAGCGTTAGAAGAAGAAACCATTCCAGTAGCTAATGAATATGTAGAGGAAAAAGTCAACCAACTAGAGGCGTCTTCTGTTAATCAACCTTCCACAAATGAACCAGAAACTGCTTTGATGGAAACAGCACCGGAACCAACAGCTCTTGAGATGACTGTAGCTTCTCTGGAGGAAATGGAGAATGCTTTACTTAACCAGCAGGCGAATAAAGAGCCCACGCCACCTAGCACTGTTGTTAAACCAGTGGCGGAGCTGTTTAAGAAATCGCAGCCCATTACAGGAAATGTTGTTCAAAACAGTCCCCTTAAATATTCCAGTGTGCTTAATCGACCCGCAAAGAAGGTGGTGCCACCGACTGGGGGAATAGCTGCCCATAAGATAATAGCAGGCAAACCCAGTCAGATAAAGACAAATACAGCGCCACCAGTCAATGGTTTACGTCGCACAAAAACAGCTCCTCCGCCTACCAAAACTACAGGTAGAAGTGGACTGCAGCCACCTCCCCGGCCATCGAGCAAAACCGAGTGCTATGGTCCACCCAATAATGTGGCCTCAAGATTGTCAGCACGCTCGCGAACCATGTTGGAAATAAATGGGAGTACCAGTAATACCAATGTCAAAACCCTGCCGAAAAAAACCACTACAAGTTCCATTCTAAGCACTGCCAGAAGAACTACCATGAGTTCTAGGCTCAGTTCCAGGGAGGATATAGCCAGTTCCACGTCCACCCTAAAAGCTAGCAATGAACAGCTCTCGAATTCAAGAAGCACTCTAAAGGCGGAGGAACGACACTCCGAGCCAAAACAGATCCAACTCCCCACGGATGCCAACGATGGTTGGTTGACTGTGAAAAATCGAAGGAGAAGCAGCATGCACTGGTCGAATAGATTCAATCAGCCCACAGGCTATGCCAGTTTGCCCACGTTGGCCTTGCTAAATGAACAGCAAAAGGAACAGGAACACAAGGAGAAGCAGAAAGGTGATGGCAAAGTCATCGGTAAATCCACTTCTGGTAAAACTGGAGCGCCTGCAGAGCTTAAGGCTAAGGCAAAGACAACTTTAACAGCCTCACGACCCGAAATTAAGAATGCCAAGGCCAAGGTAAATTCTTTTCCCGCGCAGAGAAGCACCGCCAACCAAGTGAAGAAAACAGAGAAGCATGAAAGTTCAGAGAACATCGAAAACTCCGAGAAGAAAGTGGCTCCCACACCTGTAACTTCCTTATCCTCAAGCGGTACTCGTAGTAGCAGTAACAACAGTTCCATTGGTCGCACTTCAATTATTAAGAGGCAGAAATCCGATCTAACTGGGCTGAAGATGACGTCCTTGCACAAGGAGTACATGAGAAGTGAGAAAAATGCCCTGAGAAAGCTGCAACAAAAGGAACAGGGCAACAAACAGAGCAACAGCAGCTCCTCATCCGCGGAAACCGTTGTGGAATGTGAGTAGTTATTCCTATTATCAAATAAAGGTAATCCTAAAATATATTTTTCCTTTTAGCCAACAACGATGACCACAACAAGATCGACATTAAGATCCAGACAAACTGCGAGTTCTCCAAGACCATTGGCGAACTCTACGAGAGCATTGCCCACTGTAAGTTACCAAATGGAAGCCTTAAACCCAATGCCTGTATCCTGAGTGCCTGTGATGAAAACGAGGAACAAAATACGGATGACAACGAGGAGGAGCGGAACGAAAGAATCTTGGTAGAGGAACAGGAATCTCTGGAGCGGCAAATCAGGGAGCTGGAGCAAACGGAGATCGACGTGGATACGGAAACGGATGAAACGGACTGTGAGGTTCAGCTGGAGGAGCAGGACGATGGATTGGAATTGGGCAGCGGCGATGATTCCGCCGTTTTTGTGACTATGAGTGATGATGAAAACGCTAGTTTGGAGCTAAGATATCAGGCATTGCTATCCGATATGTCCTGGAACGAAAGAGCAGAGGCTTTGGCCACTTTGCAGGCCTACGTAGCCAGACATCCGGGAAGAGCACAGGAATTGCATCAGAAGCTATCCTCGCCCTCTAGGCGTCGTTCGCTGCAGGAAACCCTGAAGAAATATCAAGCAAAACAGGCGAAGGCTCAACAGAAACGGAATTTGCTGCAGCAGGAAAAGGCAGCTAAGCTACAGCAACTATTTTCCCGAGTGGAGGATGTCAAGGCAGCTAAGAATCAATTTATCGAGGACAAACGTCTGAAAATGCAGGGAAGACTCCAAAGGGCAGCTGAGAATCGGGAACAATATCTCAAGCAAATCATTGAAAAGGCTCATGATGAGGAGAAAAAACTTAAGGAAATTAACTTTATCAAAAACATAGAAGCACAGAACAAGCGATTGGATCTGCTGGAATCCTCCAAGGAAACAGAGGGAAGACTGCAGGACTTAGAGCAGGAAAGACAGAAGAGGGTGGAAGAAAAGCTGGCCAAAGAAGCTGCTGTGGAAAGACGTCGACAAGCTCTGGAAAAAGAACGCTTGCTGAAGCTCGAGAAGATGAATGAGACGCGACTGGAAAAGGAGCAAAGGATCGGCAAGATGCAGGAGCAGAAAGAGAAACAGCGACAGGCTCTGGCCAGGGAAAAGGCCAGGGATCGCGAGGAGCGACTTCTGGCCTTGCAGGTTCAGCAGCAGCAAACAACAGAGGAACTGCAGCGCAAGATCCTCCAAAAACAGATGGAATCTGCTCGACGCCACGAGGAGAACATCGAACACATCCGCCAGAGAGCTTTGGAGCTGACAATGCCCACAAGGCAGGCGGACGAGGGGCGAGGTGATCTGGATGAGTCCGAGGACTTGTTAAATGGAAATGGCACGAGCACCGCCAATGAAGATTGCGATTTGTCTTCAACTCTTTCCGAGGTGGGGGGAATCCCTGGTCATTCGAGGAGCTACAAAAAGAAGATGAAAAAGCTGAAGCAGAGGATGAGTCAGTGGTAAGTAAATTGGGATTGTTAACTTTTATTGATGGAATTAAATTTATTATTGTATTATTTTGACTTGGGTGTTTTTTACGATTCCAGAATTTCCGCTTAATCGTTAAAATGTTATTGACTGACTTTTTGATTTTGTATGAATAAGATTTAGTTTTAAGAAACGTAAACAATTTTAAAGGAAATTGAAACTAATTTAATATTTTTTATATTTCTTCCGATAAAAAAAAGAAGAGCTATTTATTGATGATTTTATCTCTTTACAGCGCTGCTGAGTATTTGGAGAGTTTGGATCCATTGCCGCCTTACTTAAAACGGGATAGTACAGTGCCAAAGCTGTTAAATCTGGTGGTCAAGGGTGGAGGAGCCCAAGGATTGGATAGGAACCTCGGGAACCTATTGCGTGTCATACCGAAAGCTCAGACCTGTGATTTCCAGGCATTTCTCTGTATGGATGGCTTGGGCATTTTGGCCAACCATGTAATCGGCAAAGGCATGGATGAAAACTCTGAGATCTCAAGAAAGTGAGTTTGTTTTGCAACTGGAACCTTTTTAAAGTATCTTTACTTAAGTACTTATTTAATAATTTTTTAGGTCCGTTCATTTGGCCGTGCAGTTATACAGGAATGCCTGCTCGGTGTGTCCCCAGATTGCTCGTCATGCTCTTCTGGGCAATTCCATAACCGTTCTGTTCGATGCCATCAACAAGACTTTCCAGGTAATCCTCAAAAGCAGCCGTCACACAAAAGAAACTTTTAGAAACTTTTGGCCACCCAAACTGCTGCACAATAAAAGTGTCGCCAGGCAGTCGTCCTCGCCTTCAGGGGCTGTCCGTGGGATTGGGGTTAGGAGTAGTCGCAAAAGTTGGCACTTCTCGATTCCCCGGGCCACGTCGGATGTCGCCTATGTGTATAGTATAAATTCGTACTTGGCTGGCGTTATGGTCCTGCCCGGCAGCCACTTAACACTTGGCCGCGTTTATGTCTCTGTCTGTCTTAAATTCGCGCTAAAAGAAATCCTAGTTTGGCCAGAGTCTTAACGAATTCCAGGGGTTTTTTTTGCAAGGTTTCAAAACTAATGTGACCGAAACTCTCATTTCAAATTACATTTAAAAAAGAAAGTATACAAAAATTATTTCCAAAAAGTGTACGATTGATATTCTATGCATTTTAAAACATTTAAAATTTTCTAAGATTTTTCTTTTTCTTTTTTCACTTAAGACATATTGCAAAATATTTTGAAAGAGTATTTGCAAGTCGATTTGGGTCCAAGACTTATTCGGCCCTGTTTAAAGTTTATGGTTCGCTTCGGCTTTTGTCTTTGCTCGTTTGGCTGGCGTTGTTTATTTGCCATTTCTTTGACGCTTTTATTTGGCGCTGCCTTTTGTTTGTTTGGCATTTTTATTTGAATTTTATTTACTGGCCTCGTGCGCTCGCTCGTCTGTCGCTTGGCCTATCAATTTTTAAACACTAGGTCGGTTCCCTGACCGCCTGCCCCTCCATGGATCTCCACTTTCTGGGTGCTTTTCCCTTTCCTGGCCAATTTGTCAGCGTGTAAAATGTTTATACATTTTGCGGCTGCTGTTAAATCAATCGTTAAATCGCATAAAAAGGCACTCCCACTCAATAAATGTGTTTTTTTTTTGTTATTTTCATCTTTATACCCGTTACTCGTTGAGTGAAAGGGTATATTGTATTTATCAGAAATATGTAACAAGGAGAAGGAAGCGTTTCCAACCTATATATTCTTGGTCAGGATCAGTAACCGAGTCGACCTTGGCATGTCACTCTGTCTGCATCAACACTAAGATCGCGGACACTACAAAAGCTAGAAAGTGGTGATTTCCCACGCAGATTGTTGGGGTTCCTATGATATGAAAACCGCATAAGTCTGTGGTAGAGTCCTGCATGAGTACACTTGAATTGACAAACAAGTCAATTTTTGGAAAATAGAGTGAGTGAGTTCAAGTGAGTTAACTTGGATCACTTGTTTCACTTGATCACTCGTAAGGAAAAAAAAAGTGATACAAACACAGAATAAAAGTGAGTGGGAGTGATAAAATTACTAAGCAAATTATTTAGGTGGTTCGAAATTATTTTATATCTATTTATTTTATATTAAATCACTTGTTTTCCTTAAAAAGGCGATCCAAGTTAACTGATTTTAAAAATTGACTTTCAAGTACACTCATGCAGGACTCTAGTCTGTGGTTCCCACATATTCAATGATTTTTTTGCAAAGTCAATTGTATTTTATTTAATTTTTCAAAAGCCATCTCATGCCAAATAATTTTTTCATATCGGACCAGTATGAACAGATAATGAAATCAACGATAGAATTCGCTGTTATGTCCAATTAATTATTTAATTATGATAAATTAAACACGTTGTATAACAACGATTCGAAATTTATTTAAAAATTAATTGTTGAAATTTAAGTTTCTTTAGTTAACTTTGAAGATATAACATTTATCTTATTAAAATGATGTTTATAGTTGATTTTTAAAATATTATGCAAATTTATTGCACGTTATTTTACTCTAAATAAAGGGGTATTACAATGTCGGTTAAGTCTTCATTTTTTTTTAAGTAATTTTTTGTTGGTTTTTATTTAAATCTATAAAAATATTTTTACTGCTCATCGCACTCTGGAGTTTCTGTCGCTTGCTGTTGGCATTGTTAACGTGGCTCGTGTTTATTGTCGCTCCCCCCGCCCATTTGACCCAGCCCCTCCTGGCCACCCACTTCGCCTCTTTTTCACCTTCTTTTTTTTCGTTGATGGATCAGCGCGCGCGCCGCTTGTCGTGTAATGAAAAAGAAGGAGGAGAAAGAAAGATACGAAGAAGGCGCAACAGAGTGAAAAAGTTAACTGTAAGTGAGCGAGGAAGAAACATCAATTAACATTTTGATTGATGTGGATGTCTCTTTCTCTGTCTGTTGTTGCTGTTTAAATAGATAATTAATTTAAACACGCGACAAGGAATTTCACTGCTGGCCCCAAAAAGCATGCAACAATTGTGCGCTACCTCTGAAATCCGTTCGATTTTTAAACAAATGTGGTTGATACACCAGATAATTGCAATAGCAAACTAATAATAATTATATTTATTAAATTATATTTATATATTTATATTATAATTATATTGAAATGTAATTTATTATTTTCCAAGAGTTTTTTGTAAAGGATTTTATTAGCAACTTTCCCATTTTTAAAAATTTTATTCGAAAAAATATATGATTTTTTTGAAAGTCAGTTAAGAAATTAGCTATGTATTAGCGTAGCAAAGTTTTCCTTTTATTTTTCCAATTAAGACGAGTGTATAACCGAAGATTTTCTTTTTCTAACTCCTCTTCGATCTTTTGCAGTTACCCGAAGAAAAATCACCACAACATCCGGTCGAGTTGTCCACGGAGCTAATGCTGGCCTGCACGGAGGCGCTGTCCTCGAGTTACGTGAAGAAGAACACCCACCCAAAAGTTCCGGAACGCCTGCCGGACATGATAAAGTGAGTACAACAACAAGTGCAACTACGCCGGTTTATTGCGGCCAACTACAAAAACTTCGAGTAAAAGAGGGGAAACCCCGCGAGTTCGAAAAAACGAGTTCGAAACCCGGTGTGGGTGGGAGCGGGATGGCCATTGTAGAGCGCAGTCTTGCCATCCCTTTCTCACACCAGAGAGGGCGTGTCTGCGCAAGAGCGGGATAGCAAATGCGGCTGCGCTGCCTGCGCCAACGTCGCTGCTGCTGCGCTGCTCGCGTCACCGCGTTTAAAAAATATTATTTTTAACTTTAACTTATATTTAGTTGGTCACACTGATGCACAGCATTCAAAAGTGTGGCTTTCGCATGTTTTTAAAATCAAAAATTTAAACGAAGAAGAACCTTAAAAAAAGTGTAATAAAAATACATTTAAGCATTAATAGTTTTGGGTTACAGAAACCTTAGTGTTTTTTCTTTCTTCTCAAAACACATTTTTTAAAATTATAATTTATTTAAATTAAATATATATTTAATTCTACTTGCAAAACTGCAACACTTTATGTAGCTTATGGTCCAAGTTATTTCCTGTTACAAATATTGCTCTGGTTATTGATGTGCTTTCAACTCCATTGAACATTATTGTGCTCACCCTTTATTTTTCCGAGCTTTAATTTCAAAATTGGATGCTTTAATGTTGCGTCCAGTTCGGAGTTTCTGGATTCATCCGTCTCCTTCCCCATTTTGGCTGATTGTTTTCATTTAATTTGCGCTCATTTTTGTGGGTAAAAGTTTTAATCGAATTGTTGTTATTGTTGACCTTTCTGTAGCTTCCGAAAATAAACGCCATTTTGTATATCCTTGTGCACGGTGAAAAAGGATTTAAATTGATTAATAAATTATTTGATTCGGTATTATAATCTTAACACCTTATTTATTATCTTCTTTTCTTTTGTTTAGAACATTTTCCTCTCCTATTTTAAAATATTTTAACATTTATTTTGGTATATGCTGTTGAATTACACTTAATGCAAAAGTATATTTAGTTAGAAATGAAAACTTTTAAAACAAAATATCGTTAAGAAATGCATATAAACATATTTTTCACTGCATACATTGAGTTTTTTCATATTTTTGCTAGTATGTATCAGATAGTTTTGTGTGTTTGTGTTATCCCTTCATTGTTACATAGAAAAAACTTTGTAGCTATGCATTTTCCAATTGTGAATTGGCTTTTGTTTGTTACATTTGCGTTTGTTTTTGTTTCGGTTTTTCCTAGCCATTTTTTGTGTTGGCTTTTCTTGTGTGTGCTGTGGCTTTTGTTTATCCTATTGTGTGTGCTCTGGGCTCTGACCAATTTTCTGCCTTTTCCTAGCTGTTTGCTTTTTATTTTTTTATTATTCCATTTTGTTGGCTCCCGTTTTTTTATGCTTCTTTATTTTTTATTTTTTTTTTTTTACCAATTTTCGTTTGTTTATATTTTCAATTTGCTTACAAAAGCTTTTCGTTTATTTTATTAGCCTGGCATTGTTGTGTTTTTTACGTTAGTGTGTCTCCTTTGCAGCCTTTTGTGGTGGCTGCTGCTGCTTTATATCCTTATTATTTTCGTTATTCGCCTTTATTCCTTCGGCCATTTTTCGTAGCGCGCATTTCGGCGCTCAATTCAATTACGGCGTTTGCAAAATCAAATTTTCTTTTGACTATAATTTTTGGGGAAACAACCCCCGACTGGCCCACTCCCTTTTTGTGCCTGCACCTTGCGCCATTTTGCCTTGAAAATAAATAAACTTGGAACGGGAAACTCAATTCGCCGCACTTGAATGGTCCGCCATCTTGCACTTCACCCTCTTCCTCTTCTGCCCCTGTTCCGCATCCTGTTTCTTCTTTCTTTCTAGCCACGAAATATTTTGCATTTTCCGGCTTCCTAATTCGATGCTTTCTTTCTTGTCCTTCTACGTGCCGCTTTTTGTCGGATGTGTAATTAAATTTTTGTTTACTTTTAATTGTTTAGGAGCGGAGGGAGTTTTGAATATTTTGTTTTTAATTTGAATAAAGTTTTCGAGCAGTCGTGTAATCGAATTAAAGTTGACAAAGAGAAACTTTTATTTCTAGACAAGGGGTTTTCTTCTTTTGAGGAGCGCGAAACTTTGTTTGGAACTAGGAAACTTCTGTTAAAAGATTTTCCCAACTTCGGTCCATTTTTCTAAAAGAAAAACGCCATTTGTTGAATATTAAAGTCTTAGATAAAATTTAATTTTGTTTTTCTAAATAAGTACGGAAAAAAGAGTCATATGCCATGTCAAGAAGTGCACTGTGAAATTTTTTTAAATTTGTGTAGTAAAAATAGTCTAAAAATTAATCAACAATTTTAGTTCTCTTCCAATCATTAATCATTCATATCGATGCAAATTGTATTAACACAAATATTCTACTTGGCCTTGGATATCCATATTGCCCACCATAAATCGTGTCCTCCCACCACTCAGAATGTCATCCTCATTCTAAAACCATGACAAATTTGATTTGCCTCGCTCTGGCACCTCACATCACACAAAAAGCTATGCGCAGATCTATGAGATATCTTTTTACAATGTAATTGATTCATAATTAATCATCACAGTCATTAGCCCTACTGGTAAAAAAAAGGGAAGTAAATATATTTTAATCACGATTTGATCATCAATCGCAACAACTGAAAAGGAGGCACATCGCAATCATAACGATGATTTGGCACGCGATAAAGCAAACACCCCTAGGCGCGGAATCGAAACCAGAAACTCGAACCGGAACCCCTTTACCGTGCCACCCCTAAAAAGCAGTCATAATGAAATATGCATATTTCTCTGGGTGTAGGGAAAAAATCTTTTCGATATTCCCCAGCCGCGTGTTCGTCCTTTTGGCTTGTCTGCCGATGCTCCTGCGGCTGCTGTTTCCACTGGCAGGATGTCAACAAGGACGACATGCTGGCAGAGTTACTTCCGCCTGCTGCTCAACTGTTCAACTGCTCGGCTGCTGTGCGGCAGTTAATTTAATTACCCTTTAAGTAACCAGATCGAATGGCCAATTTGGAGTTATGGCCAGCAGGCTTTGGAGCTGGCGCATCCACATCCTGCAGGATGTTCGCAAGCATGACTCTGAGTGTGCAAGTTTTTGTGGTCTGCACTTTGCAATTGACATTGTTACCCAGACTCCACTGCACTAAAAAAACCAACGAAAGGAAAATGTTTTGTACGATATTGCAAATGTCAGTCATACAATGTTGTTCATCGACAATACAATAATTAATAATATTTACTTAGAATACAGAAAACATTCCAGGGCTGTAATTTCTAGTCTTTTTCAGAAAAATCTGTTCAATTTTTTATAGATTTAGACAAAAAAGCTCCATTAAACTCATTTTTGCCCGACATAGAAATAGTAAAATTTATTGAAAAGTATTGACATAGAATGAATTTTTGTGTGGTAATATTTTATAACAACGAGTATTATTTGAGAACTTTTAATTATACTGTAAGGTTTTATTCTCCCAGTGCCAATAAAAACTATTGGCTCAATTACAAGGACAGTATCTGGCATCAAAACACACTTGCACGCTCACACACACGTGCCTCTGGGTTTTATTTTACCATCGACATATTAGAGAAACTATTTAGACCTTAAACTAGACGGCAGCCCAGTCCGCCCCTTCGATAGACCATAGTCTTTGACTCGCCTATCTGGTCAAATGTATTAATTTCATTCTTGGTCCTTTGTACTCCTTGCTCTTCACTCTTATCGCTTTCTCTCACTCTTTTGGAAATGTCCTGCGACGTCTCCTGTTTCTCCTCTCTGGCCCTTTGTTTGTTGGTTTTTTTATGTGCAGCGTTTAATATCCGATTTCAGTTTTCCCCTCGTCTCTGTTGATTCTTTTTGACAAAAGGCTGAGCATAGGGAAAACTCGGCTCAGTTGCTGTCTCTTTCGTTTTGTTTGGCTTTGGCGAAGTTTCCTATTTGCTCAGTGCGCCGCTCCTTTTGTTCCTCGCTCCTCGCCCTTCACAATTTTTCCCACCCCCGCTGGAAGGAAAATCAAAATATTGACTCTTAACGGTGTGTTTATTGATCCAGCTACCCCATAAAGGCAGAGAAGGGGGAGGGTGGAACAAAAGGTGGAGGAGGGTGCCTTAAATTCTACTTTCGCTATTGCTGCGTTGCAGTCAACCTTCTGTCTACTTAATTTAATTTTATAAATATTATTTGTTAATATATATATTTGTTAATTTTTTTGAGTTTTTAAGTTCTTTATTTTTTTTCTGGAAATATAGAGTATTCAGCCAAACTGACTAAAATAAATTATTACTAATTCAATAAAATAACCAATTTAATAATAAAGTTTCCTCATTATTTCGAAAATCTTCTTGAATGTGGCCTTACTTTATTTGAGGTAGAAGAATTTCGCTAGTACACCCGACCACCTGCCAGCATTTTGCATGTCATAATTGAATTCAAATCACAAAACTGTCACACAACTAATCAAAGTTGTCATCTGTCCCCGGTTCTCGCCTTGTGAAGTGCCCCTCCTCTGAGTTTAGTCAACTGCTCAACTGGAGCTCAGTTTCAATTTCTGTTTCAGTTTCAGTTTTCGTTTTCAGTTCTCGTTGCTCATCTGTTCGTTTCGACATTCAAACTGTCAAAAAGTCAGCATCAATTACAGTTACAAAGACATCATAGCAAAACCCCTGCACAAAAACCCACACAAATATCCCGAAATCGGGGCAGTGTGAGTGAAGAGGCGGTGGGCTCTCGGGGGTGTGGTGCAAAAGGGAGGGGGTCAAGGGTCAGAGTAGCAGCTCAAAAGAAGTGTAGCCCTAAACTTCGCAGTACATTTGCATCAAAATGCATTTGGCTATAAAGCACTGACGAAAAAACTAGATTTTAGAGGGTGATTTCAAGAGTTTTGGGAAATATAATTGAGTTGATGCCTTCAACTTTATGTTTCTGAATATTAAATTCGCAAATTTATGTGCTTATTAGTCTTTTTTTTCGAAGTCA